AGAAGAAACAGTAGATCATTTCTCAGATAATGCAAGAAGCTCACACAACTCAATTATAAGCAACAATATAACACGGTGGCCTGTGTTATGGATTCACTGGAACATCTGTAAAAATTATCATGTTCCAGCAACAAAAAATTGGTAGGAACATAGAGTTGAAAAAGTAGTTGAAAATGAGTCGTTTAAAATATTGTGAATTTTCTGATGACAAACTGATAAACCTTTGGATCGTAGCACACCGGATTTAACATGGTTGAAAAGTAGAAAGTCTGTATAATTGATGTGACAATACTAAGGGATAATAGAAGAGAAATAATTGGAGGAGATCACAAAGTATCAAGATCTGAAAATCAAAACTGGAAGATTATGGTATAAACTGGTCACGGTGATTCCAATGGTTATTGTCAGGCACAAAGAATCATGTTAAGGTCCAGTTCAGAAGATTTATTGTTCACGTCTATACGCAAGAATCTAGTCAATTAACTGTCAGCACTAAATAACTAATATTTAGCACTAGATAAGTGCTAAATTAAGTTAAGAAAGATCACTTTCTTAACTATGCCACCCAGGGTCTCCCTCTTCTTTCCACAGAGTTATTGGCAAACTGGGGGCCATATACAAAAACTTGGATGGCATTTAGAGAATCTATAAATTGACAAAATTTCCATCTGTCCATTGCAAAAAGGCCACGCTGCTTGGATTTGCACATATATTATACTGATATATAGTAGGTTCTTAGGAAACAATTGACGTATATGAAAGCCAGCATCAGTTAAACAACTGGCAGTTATGACTTCCCATTGTTGTGAACACATTATGATAATAAGAATAAGAACTGCCATTGAGGCACTATCTTGATGTGGTTGTGGGGCTTGTGTGCTCTGGGGAAGAGAGCTCTGGCAGAAATTCAACCATACTTGACAGTTCCAATTAGAGGAGCCAGACAAAGAATATCTCTCCCGTCAATAATATAGGGAGACGTATTTTACAGAAACTCATACCGGATTAGTCATCACCCAGATCAACAAGAACCATGTTAGGTGTTGGAGTTCCTGGACTTCTGGTGACAAATGGGCTCCAGAATCAGGACTGTTTGCTGAGCAACTAGGGCCAGCAGCTGCAGGAATACTAGAATCCATTAATTTACCTATTGTAAATATACGAAGATTGAAAACAAATAATAATCTGTTATTACAAGTGAAGACCAATGAAGAACAGCACCAGGCAACTACAGAATAGGACATCTGAAGACGATGCACCAGTTCTAGAAAGAACTACATTCACAATTAGAAATATCAGAGCAGAAGCTAGCAGATCAATATCAATTTTAATACAAAATGAAATATTCATAGAAGCAGAATTGGAAGGACTAAAAAGATCTATCTAGGCAAAGAAATTGTAATATCAAATATGAGTAGTAGATCACCATTAGAAACTTACCAACTAATGCACAACATAGCTCTAACTATAACTGAATGTCGTGGGTGCTATATCAACAAACAAGAAAAAAAAAAAAGACAAACACCACCAAAATAGAAGATTAGGCTGGAAAATAAGATCAACATGCTAAGATTAGATGAAACCAAACTACAATAGATAGATAGATAGATAGATAGATAGATAGATAGATAGATAGATAGAAAGGAAGGAAGGAAGGAAGGAAGGAAGGAAGGAAGGAAGGAAGGAAGCTGAAGAACAAGAAGATAAAAGAATAACTGATCAAGAAACAAGGAAGATTAAGGAAGCAAAGAAGAGCCAAGATGATCAGGAAATCTGAAGCTCAAATTGTACACTATAGGCAGAATCTCCAATATCAATTGAATCAGAAACATCTCTACCAATCCATTAATGGAGAGAATGCAATGAACCAGTCAAAGAAAAAATAGTGCAACTCTGGGACCAGACACAAATACAACAATCCAACACAAATACAACAAGAATGCAGCTTGCATAAAAGAGGTGATAAGAATAAAAAAAGAAATGCTGAACTGAAATAACTTGTAATAACATCAGAAATGATGAAGAAACGAGTAAGGAAGCTAAGAGTTGGTCAGCACCAAAGGAAGATGAACTGCAAAGTTTTCAGTTCAAATATCTAACTGGTCTGCAAACACTCATTCTCAATTTAACAACATACTTCAAGTAGGTGAAATTGAAGACTGGTTAACATCTGGCAAAACCTACCTACCTGATAATGAAAGAGCCAACAAAAGGGATAGCACCAGGCAACTACAGGCCAATTACCTACTTACCAACAACTTTCAAAAGGCTAACTGGTGTGGGAGCTGATGCAGTCCGACAGCATCTAATTGAAAACAAGATTTGTCTACCTGAGCAGAAAGGAAACTGCCCAAACGGGAAAGGAACAAAAGATCAGCTCCTAATTGACATGATGATTTTGGAAAACTGCAAGAGAAGAAACATCAACTTGGATTGAAAGTACATGGGAGACAGAGTTTCATCTACTCTTCTGATGTGATGAGAGACTGCCATAAGGAAGTTGGGACTTTCCTGTCAGCATGAACAATGAAGAGGCCTTGCAATGGCTCCTGGCTATTGCAAGATTAGAACAGTTGTATCTTATAATGTCCAAGATTTCTTGGTTCTTGTGAAATTTCACAATAAAAGCTGGGGGTGGGTGGATGGGTGAGGATCACCTTACTATCAATTGGCAGGCAGAGCTACCATAACACCCATCTAGTTGTCTCAAGCGTTGTCTCTTTGCTCTTTTAAAGGTTGTGTGGAACTTTTTTCCCACTATGTTCTTTATCTTCCTGGATGTAACTGCTCTTTAGCTTAAAGATAGCTCTTTTAAATAGAGTTCTTTAATGTCTATATAAAGCTTCTGGGTGAAATCCCTGGGAATTGGGGATTAAGTGCCACCAGTACACTGATGACATTCAGTGCTTTTTCTGCCTGTCACCAGATTCAGGTATGATAGTGGAGTTGGATCAATATTTGAATGCCGTAATGGGAACAAGGGAATCCAATAAACTTTAGCCTCACCTGAGAAGGAAAAAACCCTGTGAATTGGTAACCCCTGGGTCCAGAAATGGTATGCCTCTAATTCTAATGGGATTGCCTTTCTCTAAAGGGACAGTAACAGTAACAAAGTTTGAAGGGACCTTGGAGCCGTCGAACTGCCAACCTTTCTGATCGACAAGCTCAGTGTCTTAACCACTGAGCCACCTAGTCAGGTTAGGCATAATGCCTGATAGAAACCTGGTCCTGCAGCTGCAGCTTTTCCTCAGAAGAGCTGACTCGACTCTACAAATCCACCGCTTTGATAAATTCCTGGTGTTAGCTGATCTTGAACTTGAAGATTATTCAAAATCACAGCTAATGGTGAATGTGGTACCAAACTGGTATAGGAAATACTTGTTCAGAAACTGTAATAATAGTCCTAAAAAAAGACAACAATGGCTGCAAGGAGTTTTTATAATAACACCTCCCATAGGATCTTCTTGGCCAATTCAGTTTGATTTGCATGCTTCCAGCCTGTACCATACTATTTGAACAAGCTGAATGGACAGATTGGTCCTTTTGTAAAATGGAACAAAAAGGATGATAATATAGTTACACCTCAGCTCTATGGGTCTCCATTTGACAGATCTTAATGCAAGAGATAAAATCTGAGTTTAGAGTTCAGTCCCAGAAAATAGCAATAGCACTTAGACTTATATACCACTTTACAGTGTTTTACAGCCCTCTCTAAGTGGTTTACAGAGTCAGCATATCGCCCCCAACAATCTGGGTCTTAGTTTTACCCACCTTGGAAGGATGGAAGGCTGAATCAACCTTGATGAGATTTGAACTGCCAAATTGAAGGTAGCCAGCAATCAGCAGAAGTAGTCTGCAGTACTGCACTCTAACCACTGCGCCATTGTGGCTCTATGTATAAAGTCCTCTGATTCTGAAGCAATCTGGAGAACTGATATACTTGGTGGCACTTATATCAGAATCAGAATCTTAATTGCTTTCAATGACCAGTCCATTAAAAAAGCACTCGGATTCATAAAATTGATATTGATTAGCTAATTCAGTAACAGATTTATCAATCAAACTACCGCATATCTGAATATATTACATGACAGAATTTGATCACATTATTTGAATCGTAGAGCAAAAGGTTTAAATAGAATTGATCAGAGGGACCAGAATAAAATATTTAATTAGGTTAGGAATTAGCAGCTTTTATTTATGAGTGCGTTTTTATGTGTATATAGGTGTATTTGTGTGGACTGTAAATACCATACTTATGTCCTAATATGTATAATTTGCATTTTACATAATCCAATCACTCATTCATGTTCTATGTTTCCTAAAAAAAAAAAAATGGGTTTAACATTTTATAGAGATGAATAATTACTTACTTTGGCAAATATATTAATTTTGCTTGTTCTAAAGATGTATCCACATAAAAGTTGTTACAATTAACAATAATGTTTGCAGTCAGAAGGTGTTTTTCCTTGTCGATTAATCCATGCCATCTTGGGCTGCTTATAAATCTAACTTTAACTTTTACATCATTTGCTTAATTACACCATTTGTTAAGCAAATGGCGTACATTGCCACCAATGATGTAAGTCAAATAACGATGCCAATGATACGTTATGCAATTATGTAAATTCAGATTTAACCAATATTCGTGTTTGATACCTCTTTCTTCCCAAATGGTCTGTTAAATTAAGATTTCATCACATTTCATTTTCATCTTGCTCTTAGATTGTTCAGAGTTCTTTTTTGTTGCGCTATTTTTTATAATTATGGCAATATGCTCTGCGTGTGTAGGTTTGGATTTACTTTTATATTTAATTTGGGTATTCTGCTTGGAGCAAGTTTTTCAAAATCAAATGGAAATGAGTAAGTAACCTGAACTGCAGTGTGTTACTTAAGGAAATAAAGTTGCTATGTGGAAATGCATTACGTTCTAAGTTCTACTCTATCAGAAAAATGAAAATAAATAGTAGTAATAGCATGAATTTTAAAAAAAACCTCACCTCATTCACTGTAATATAGTACTGTTCTTGCTGGAACTGGGGAGAGTTATCATTTCTATCCCTCACCACGATCCGAACTTCATGGTTGATAATAGTTCCTACTTTTCGATTAATGCATTGGACTTGGACTACAATAGACTGAATGGACACTGGTGGCTGCAAAAGAGAAAAAAAAACCCACAAAACTATAAGTACATTTAAGTATTTTTCCAAGTATCTATAAATATTGTAGGATGCAATTCTCTAATTCCATCATGAGGAATAAAGCTAATTTAGTTCATTGGGCTTGTTCCCAGATCTGTATATGTACAGGTAGTCCTCGACTTACAACCACAATTCATCCCAAAAATTCAAGACATTTATTGAGTTTTGCCCCTTTTTACGACCTTTCTTGTTGGTTGTTAAGTGAATCACTGCAGGTGTTAGGTAACATGGGACACTGCAATCATTGTAAATATCAATCAATTGCCAAGTGTCTGAATTTTGATCATATGACCTTAGGGATGTTGCAATGGTCGTATGTGTGAAAAATAGTCATAAATTACTTTTTTCATACCATTTTTCAATACCGTAACTTCAAATGGTCATTAAAAGAACTGTTGTAAACTGAGGACTACCTGTAGTTAGTCCATAAAAGTTACACTTAGTATCTGGTTATGTGCCTGAACAACAGATATAAGTATTGCAGTACATCTGATATTATAGACATATACAATGTATTTTAATATAAGATAATCACTACAATAGTTCAGAAGCTGTAGGCTAAATCCAGATAAATGTCAAGATCACGTTTTGCCTTTAACTAATTGTAAAATAATAAATTCAAATACAACCAGGTCTATTTTTAAATAATATAAGGGAGATTAATCTATCTTCTGTTTCATCAAATATTAATTATATCAGAAGGCAAACTTCCCTTACACCCATTGATGCTAAATATTATAGGAATTAAAGGGGGGGGGGGGATAAACCTAAGCAGAGTAAGACCTGATTATTATTTGAAAATTGAGATTTTTGGAAATATTGTAGGCTAGGCTGAAAAATTGGGGAAAGGAAAACATGTCAGAAGGTTGCTGAATCCAAAATGGTGTGTATCCTTCATTAGATCATATGAGGTAATGAATGCCAGTTATCATGACTATGGGGATACTACAATGGTCATTAAGTGTGAAAAACAGTAATAAGTCACTTTTTTCCAATGCTGTTCTAATTTGAAATGCTCACTAAATAAATGGTTGTTAAGTCAGAGATTACCTCTAGCATTGTTTATATTGTTTTGTGTGAATATATTATAGCACTTAACAAATCATAGCTTTAAGGGATGGGGGCGTGTGCTAAAAAAGAAAATAAATTTCAGTGTAAAGCAATAAATAGAGTAGATTAGATCAGAACTACCTATTACATACTGTATGTATAAAGAGTATGGTGCTAAAGCAGGGATCCACAATCCCCCACTATTGGTCCATGGCAAGGGTGGGTTCTACTTACCTTTACTACCAGTTCGTAACGGGATCACATGCACAGATCACCTATGATGACATCCGGGGTGGTGGGCGGAGCCTCCCATCGGTTTTACTACCGGTTCTTGCGAACCGGTCCGAACCAGAAGCAATCCACCACTGGTCCATGGCCTATTCGGAACTGGGCCATGTGAGAGGCAGGCCGGTGTGTGCACACAGCTCCACTTGTGCAACAGTGCCCCAAAGGCTTCTTTTATCACTTGTGAGTGGAGCTGCATGCACATACATGCGCACCGGCCTGCGAATCACGTGGCCTGGTTCCCCTCTCCCCCCCCCATTGGGCCACCAAGTCTCATGCCTCTGATATTCCAAAAGTGGAGCGGTGAGAGAAGAGGTTGAGTGGGGCAAGTGTACCCCGCTCAGCTTCGCTTGTGCAGGACATCTGATCTGCGTTTGGAGCATTGGGCAGCCTAGATGAGTCTGAAGGAGCATGAAACCGTGCACCCAAAGGCTTCTCTTCTACACACTTTTGCAAACAGATGCAATGGGGTAGATATCTTGCACTGCTTCAGGCCTTCCATCCCTTTGTAAAATATTTTTGTTCTTTCTTGCATGAGTGGAGATGCACATTCATGCGTCAGCCCACCACTCATATGGCCTGGTTCCCCTTTCACCTCCCTCCCAGCCGGACTGCCAAGCCACAAAGACTGGGGACCGCTGTGCTAAGGAACAAACAGTTTTTTTGTAAAACTTAACAAAAGGTAGGTTTCTTTATGAGAGAAATGTTACCAGATAAAAAGCTGAGATTGTCAGAAGGAAAAAAAAAATGGATCCAGGTGAAACACTCGATGGAAGAGTGCAGAAAATTTTGTTTGTTTGTTTGTTTGTTTGTTTGTCTGTCATATTTCTATGCCGCCCACTCTCCGAGGACTCTGGGCGGCTTACACCAAAGACAGTATACTAAATAGCATATTGCCCCCAACAATCTGGGTCCTCATTTTACCCACCTCGGAAGGATGGAAGGCTGAGTCAACCCTGAGCCGGTGAGATTTGATCCGCTGAACTAGCAGTCAGCTGAAGTAGCTGTAGTACTGCACTCTAACCACTGCGCCATCTCGGCTCTTATGTTAAGCATTAGAGTGTTAAAGTGCACAAAAATAGACTGACCATGTGAAAATAAGTTTTAAAGCTAATGATGGATGGCTTTGGTAATTTTATAAATGGAGTGCAATCATTAGCAAACACTTTGTCAGTAAACCTTTGACTATGGAGGAGCAAGGGAAGAGATACTGCCTTATAGGAAAAGCTTAAACAAACTCCTCAATGATGAAGGCATTCTACTGTCAAAATTTACAATGCAAAAGAGACTGGTTTCTTCGAACATTAGGTTCTCAAGAACATTCCGGCATTTAGATGTAAAAAAAATCAACAGGATATAAATGGATCACATTGTTACTTTGTGCAAATGCCACCCCATTGCATAGATTAATGTCAGTCACTGTTGGCAAGTCACATTATTCAGAATGCGTTAAAAGGCATTATGCATCAACTGCCAGCATGGATTCACAAACGATATGGTCTATGTCAACACTTTTTTTTTCAGGAACAGTTCTTCAATCACTTTGTTCCAGAAGTCAGAAGACTTCTAAATGAGATGCTGAAAATATCAAGTGAAACACCAGAGCTTTTCTAACTCTGAACTATTTCTGCTTATTATTTGGGGAGGAAAAATGGGTGTTTTTGCCCAAAAATATAGTGTAGTCATCCAGACTATGAACCATCAAATAAAGGGATTCAGTTTTTTTTAAGGTGAATTTTGGTTGTGTTGGAGGACAAATCTGATAATAAAAGTGACATAAGATGGCCTAAAAAAAACTTTAGAATCTATAAGTTAAAGCCATTGATTTTCATTTTTGCTACAGCTTGGAAACCAGTCAAAATTCCAATACTGCAGCTGGTTAGCAAAATTGCTGTACAACATTGGCACGGATTTGTAATTTATTTATTGACATTAGGTCACACAACTCAAACTGTTACATTAAAACATACAATAACACCCAAAAGAAAAATCCATCCCCAGATCATATACGGCAATGTTCAACATATACAACGTATGTATACGATGTATATGACATATACAATATATGAATGTAAAACATAAAATATAAATATAGTTTCAGAGATCTAAAGTCAGTTATTAGTACAGCAGCATCACAGAGAAAACTGGCAAAGAGAGAGCAAATGAGCCCAACATCTTGCAGTTGCCAAAGGAAGATAGATTCCAGGTTTTGAAAGAAAGTGAGATATCCTTCTCTTGGGAGTTGAGGGCAAAGAAGGTGACGAAAAAAACCTGACAAGTTCCCCAAGCAAAATGCCTACATTGAAATAACACCTAAAAGTCATAAAGTTATTATTCATCCTTCCAAATTTTTATAGAGATAACGATATAGAACAGTGTTTCTCAACTTTGGCCGCTGGACAATGTGTGGACATCAACTCCCAGAATTCCCCAGCTAGCAGAGCTGGGAGTTGAAGTCCACATATTGTCCAGTGGCCAAGGTTGAGAAACACTGATATAGAACTAGCACACTTCCAATTTAAATCCAAGTAGTCATGATGACAAAAATCCAGCACCTCCATAGAAGACGATTCCCATTCATTCCAATAGAATAGAATATATATATAGCTCAGGTTTGAAGTATGGAGTCCTTGTTGTAACCTGAGCTTGATTGTTGTCTTGCAGATGTTTCATTACCCACCTAGGTAACATCATTGGTGCCTTTTCTGTGTTCTTTTGATCTGTGGTACGATTGTTTGCCTTATGTTTCAGTCTCTGTCGCATACCCAGTAGTTTTAAATGCTGCAAAAATTCTAACTGATTAGCATTGTCTAGGTTATAGTTGAGACCTGCCATCTCCTCCAATACCTTTCTGAAGGATATTTTAGGGTTTAAGCTGACCAATTTGATTTACAGTTTAGTTTTCCTTTCTCCAGCTTGTCTTGCACAGGTACTCTTGATGGTGGTTGTCAGCATTTTTGTGAGTTTTGGGGTCATGATTTGTTCCAGTTGCTCCTTGCGATTATCTATGGTGTGCTGGTATTCATTTAGTCTGAAATGAGCATTCACGCTCCTTAGCCATATAATTTTTTTTACTGTGTTGTTGAGCTGTTTTCTAGGCAGCTGTGAAATTCATTGGAGGTTTGTATCCGATACTGGTGGGAAAATCATGCTATCATAGGCATTTGTGCCAGTGGTGGGATTCAAATTTTTTTACTACCGGTTCTGTGGGTGTAGCTTGGTGGGTGTGGCTTGGTGGGCATGGCAGGGGAAGGATACTGTAAAATCCCCATTTCCTCCTGATCAGCTGGGACTCAGGAGGCAGAGAATAGATGGGGCCAGGGTCAGTCAGAGGTGGTATTTACTGGTTCTCCAAACTACTCAAAATTTCCACTACCGGTTCTCCAGAACTGGTCAGAACCTGCTGAATACCATCTCTGATTTGTGCAGAAAGAATAGTTAGTGCTTGGTGGACGTTTGCCTATATTCAACTTCCTCATGCTTTAATAAAGGCCCCTTACAGAGCATCTGGAATCCTGTGGTTGTTGCCTTTTCTTGTTTCCCTATATTTCTGAGGAAACTCTTTTTATAGCCAAATATTTGGTGGCATTCCTCATTAAAAACATCCCTGCATGAAA